AGGACAAAAATCTGGTGGTATCCTAGAGATTGCACACTGTAAGGCTATGTTCACACTAGCGTTGTGTGCAGGCGGCAGAGAGGCGTTTGGGAAGCGTTTTTACCGATTCCCAAATGCCTCTGCCAATTCTGCACATTACAGCACATGGTGCTGTTCTAACGGGAGCGTTTGCGTTGCATCGCGTTGCATCGTGGCAAAACGGATGTCTCTGGTCGAGTCAGGAGGCGTTGAAGCCTCCTCTTCTAGGCTATGGTGCCGCTCCGCAAACGCCCGGCCGGTGTTTTGCGGTACGGTTGCGACACGGTTGCGGGGTGTTTGCAGAGCGGTAACACCATTCAAACTGCATTATAGGCATTTGTGGGGCGTTTTTAACGCGCATGCAGCGTTTGCGGAGCGTTTGCCGAGCGTTAAACGCTCTGCAACCGCTGGACCAACGCTTGCCAAACGCTATAGGGGTGTTTGACAAGCGTTGGTAAAACAGCCAAGTGTGAACGAGCCCTAAAGAGCTCATGGCAGATAGAGGAATGCAGTGTTTGGAGTACAGCCAAGATGCTTGTGCACCTTGTATGCCCATGACCCTTAATAACACCATTTAAGATACATACAGTATTGCTTTTTATAGCATATGTTTAATTTATTAATACAACCGATATATAGTTCAGTCACTTAGTGGTTTTAACTTTTGCAATGGTTTTTCAACAATGTAAGCACTAACGTGTTTTGACACGGTTGTCATATACGTTGGGTGAGTCAATTATCTTGATTGCTCATGCAGGTACTGTCGGCCAGTAAGGCAGACCATACATAAGCAAATTTAAGTGTTGATTCAGTGTGGATGGGGAATCTCTCCCACTGAGCTTTTGTATTCTGACAGTAGGAGGTTTCCCAGCCGTAAAAATATAATGATCACTTCCGACTGCTATAGCCACCAGCAGTGATCGAACGGAAAAATAAAATAAAATAGGCTTGTTGTACTGAAGTCGATTGAGCGATTTCAGTACAACCAGCCTGCTAATACATGGGTCAAAATACAGTCAGCTCCTGATCCAACAATTAGCTTCCCTGCACAGATTCACACAGGAAAACTCTATTTTGAGTTAATCGGGGCCTTAGTTAAGATAAGAACCTAAAATGAAGGGTTTTTCTTTTCTGAGCCCCCAAAACATGTTGGATTTTTTCTTAGTATTAATTAATAAATGCATGTGGACTCTTATCCTTTGGTCTGGCGTTCCTTTCATGAGTGCATGTTTTTTTCCAATTAAAAAAATGTCCATGCCTTTAAATACTTTGTACATTTGCTTGCGTACTACAGAATGACAATTCTCATTCTCTACTCATTTCTAATCCTATTTTACTTTTTCCCCATCAGCTTTACTAAGCTAATAAAAAATGGGTTATTGAAGAAGCCATGATGTACCAAACTGAAGAATAAAAGAACAATTTTAAGACCAGTGCCCAAACCTTGTCATCCTTCCTTCCTATTACTAATACCTATTTATATTTGAAATGTAATGTTTGTATTCCTGCCATCAGATGAGTTACACATACCATAAATCAAACGTCTAAAGCGATTTTAAATTCCAAAGCACAGCAGCGTGTATTACCCAACTCTAATTTGTGTATTTTTATGGTTATTGAGAAGACATTTACCACCTGCTGAGTTCTAGGAACACAATAACATCTTAGTCCCTCGTATTTCATTTCAATCTTCTGCTCCACCCTCTGTCATATACACAGTCTTTTAATTTCTTACACCAGTCTTTCCCTTTACTATATCCAAAGCTTCAATTTATTCTTTATTTATAAAGAAAAACTCTTTTTGGCCTAGTTACAGTCGTTCGGACCCGCAGTCAAGCTGCCCTTCTGCTAATGGCTCCACAACTTCCTTTAATGTGTGTTCTACTGCCAACTCCTGGGCTGGACTGGTTCCATTTAATTCTCTCTTTCCAAGAAGGATCAAGTAGAAACATAAATGATTTTCCCCTACTGAGGTTCCTAACAATCCACAGGCCTCGGGACCAGAGATGACAGCTCCCCAGATTAAAACACCATGAAACATCTTTACTCCTTGTTAAAATGATATCTTGTTAGGGGTATGTGGCATTTTGCTAAAAGTGAAGCTTAGTATGCCATTAATTGCAGATTTACAATATCCTGTGGCCTATCAACTGCCAATCTGAAGAAATTGCTCATTTAATGATTAGTCAATAGTGACTCTAAATGAGCCATATGGCCTGTCAGTGCTGGATATTCTTATAGAGGTGTGTGTATCTATTGGTTTTCATTATGTAGCTTATTGCTAGTAATTCATATAGTGAAAAAAAAAATGTATGTACTGTTTGACCCTTGAGGTAAAGCGAAACTGTTAATTAGTGCTGATCAACTTATTAGATATAAGGGGCCTCAGGTGTGGCTCTTGACATCATCAAAGGGTCACACATATTATGCATGTGATGCTTATGAAACTGTCAGAGACCCTGAGAGATTCAGTAGATAATCAGACACTACAGTTATGTTACTGTACTAACATCCTATAGCAGACAGAGTCTGCAACAATGCTATCGTGCTTTCCCATGACATGGTCAGAGACTGGAGGTAAGTTACTGCCACTGCCATTACCATACCTCCCAACTGTCTCAATTTCCGCAAAGGATTTATACCAAATTGACCCACCCTTGTCCCGGTATGCTTGTTCCAGCACCCACTTCCTGCTTCTAGTAATGATAACTTCACATGACTCAAAGTCACAAGGGAAGTCTGAAATAAACTTCCCTTGCTTTGAGGCACCGTGGTGAGCACCAGTCTAAATGAGTTTTGGAGGGGGACACTGAAGAGGAATGGGGTGCAGAATTACCGTTGGGAGTATTGCATTGTGGAGTGATTGTGGAGTTAAAATCTATTACATTAATCTATTATGTATGAGCAGATATGGGATTTTGTGCTTAAAATACTTCTCACCTCTTATCCGCATTGCCTAACTGGACAGTTTGTATTTCATTTCTGCAACAGGGCAGCTTCGACTTATCATAGTTAAATAGATACATTGGCCAGAACCACCTATTAGGGAGTTTATTCCACATATTCACAGCTCTTACTGTGAAGAAGCATTTCCATATTTGGAGGTTAAATCTCTTTTCCTCCAGACTTAAAGTTTACCACCTTGTCCTCTGTAATGACCTTAAAGTGAATAACTCTACACCAAGTTCACTATATGGACCACTTATGTATTTATACGTGTTGATCATATCCCCCATTAATTGCTTGTTCTCAAGAAAGAATAAATTCAGTTTCTGTAATCTCTTCTCGTAGCTCCTCCATGCCTCTTATTAGTTTGGTTGCCCATCTCTCCACTTTCTTCAGTTTCCCGATATTCTTTTTTGTGAACTGTTCCCAAAACTGAACAGCATATTCTAGATGAGGTATTAGAGATTCTAGATCAGATCTCATGGGGAAAAAGTAGTGATTTTTTTTGTCAAATTGATATTTCCCCAAGACAGCCTCAGTTTTCAGCATCTGTGAGTGCCCAACAGATGTTAGGTCATTGCATGCCTTTCAACTGTGGGACTATCAATAAATTTGTACTAAATTCTGGAGTCCTCTGGACCCACCTCCTGTCCTGGCATTAGAATAGTTTTTCCAGCCGGTAAAAGGCCAGACCTCTGACCAGTGCGTAACCCATGCTTCACAGTGAAGATGTCTTCTATCCCCGTTCTGCTTCTTGTCATGTGATAAATACGTCACAACAGTGCAACACTTCATAGCTATGTGTGACATTATACCACTGCACCCAGAACCTTAATTTTGGAAGTTCCTCTGCAGCACCGACTTGTATCTCCTTCATTTACGTGATGTTTTGTGACTCCTTTACCATACACAAAGCCATTACACTGCTGTGTTTCATGGATGAAGACCCTGTCATAGCTGTCCACCTGTGTCTGACCCCTGTCTGCCTATCTCTAGTCTCTGGACAACAACAGGTTTTTGTTGTTGCATTTTATTAATTAGATGCATATGTTGACACAGCCTAGAACAGGAGTCTCCAAACTTTCTAAACAAAGGGCCAGTTTACTGTCCCTCAAACTTTAGGAGGGCCGGACTTTGGCCAGCGAGAATAGAAGATGTCTTGGTGTCAGTGGGGGTAATCAGTGTCCTCTTTTTTGGTATTAGGGGGAGGAATAGTGTCCCACTGTTGGTGTCAGTGAGAGGAACAATGCTCCGATCTTGATGTCAGTGAGAGAAATAATGCCCCATTGTACGTGTCAAGAGCAGGACAATGTTGCTGACAGTGGGGCAAAAAGTGGCCCAAGGGCCAGAAAAAAGCAAGCAAAGGGCCACAGTTTGGAGACCACTGACCTAGAATATCAACTTTATTACCACCATATGCATAATCAATACAGTTTTCATACATCAGGCTCTATTTAAGCATGCTCCTTTAAGCCATGCTTAATACTCAGCACACTCAGGTCACACTTCAGCCTCCTCAGTGTACAATACAGGGTTAAAGCTGTATTAGACCCAAAAGGAAACATTTATTATATTGTAGCTCTTAGATGTGATAGTTGCATTAATTTTCTTTTTTTAAGGCTCTCTTTTCTTTATTTTCATATAAAAAGTGCAACATTAAAACATTAAGGATCTAAAGTGATAATTTAAAAAGTCCATCAAAAAAAAAGCTTGTGCTCAAATGAAACTTCACAAAAGAAAGTGAATCCAACCGTCAAGGGAAGAAAGAACCCACTCATTCAATGGGACCGGAGAGAAGGGGTGACAGCTCAATATCCCTGCATGCCCCTGACGACGTCAAAAGTATGATGCAATGTATCAGGTGGAGCCTAATGTGACATCACCACGCTGAGCGGCCGGCGGAGTTCGTGGTGTAGTTTACAACTGGAACATCTGTGTACTGCATCAGGATTGTTGCAGCCCCTCGATTGTCTTTGACGGCTTTATGCTTTTAAACCAATTTTAAGTGCAATAGTTTTAATAATCTTTTATTGAAGGACATACTGCACTATTAGCCTTTATATCTTGCATACCCCAGGGGCGGACTGACCATTTGGAAACTCAGGCACTGCCCAAGGGCCCGGGGTCAGTAGGGGGCCCCATGAGATGCCCCTGGCACCTTTTTCATAGGCTTTTTTGAGGTTGGCAAGGACACAGGGGCCCCATGATCCCCTATTGCTCGGGGGCCCCATGAGTTGTCAGTCCACCCCTGCATACCCCTATTGGTGGAGAGCGGAGTTGGAGTGGAATCACAGGTTGAAATACCATTATGCCATCTACTGTAAATTTGATTGGGGTTAACCCCTAAAGCGCTGCTGGATTATCATTACTGTGGAAGCCGAACAGCTCTGTTCAGAGCCCCTACTAACTTTCTGTTGTCACCAGGGATATTGAGGTGTCACCCCTTCTCTCCGGTCACATTGAATGAATGGGTTCTTTTTTCTCTTCCTCTGACAGTTGGATTCACTTTATTTTGTGGAGTTTCATTTAAGCACAGACTTTTTTGATGGACTTTTTAAATGATCACTTTAGCTCATTAATGTTTTAGAGCTGCGCTTTTTGCACTATATTATTTGAGGTTCTGTATTGTTTACCTGTGCTACCGGCACAAATTTTTAATCTGAGTGCAGAAAATTATTGGGTTTAAATTTTCTTTATTTTCACCTGGTGATCCTTCCAGTAAGTCTGTTGTTTTTCACAAGAATAAGCTGTCTTGCACATGTGTCAGCTACAAAGATGAGACAAACTGTTCAATACTGACAGACATCTTACAATGGTCAGTTTTATTTATTTATGTAAAACCTTTACGCCAAAAGGAACACAACTGTTTTTCCGTAACTGCTTATGAAGTGTGAGCTGAGTTTGGCTACAATTTGTTAGTGTATCTAAATCTGCTAGTACATCTAACACCGCCATCCCCCCAGATTAAACAATGCAGCTGTCCAAAGGTGCTCCTTCATCCTGAGTGGTGTCTGAATAATATAGGAGGTGTGTTAATGGCCAGATCAATAGGTGAAAACAGAAGGGAAAAAGCCTTAAAAGAGAAAACGAATGCAGCCATCACATATAATGATTGGCATAATGAGCATTTAGCCCTTAAAGTGTGGAGGGGCCCCAATTCAGGGTTGAATTTTTTTCATTCTCCTCGAGTTGTGCTTTAAATAACTATGAAACATGATGCACCTGTCACTGGCATTAGCACAGCAGCCCCCACCCGGGGATGTTACCGGTACTCACACTCCACTTCTTCTAAAGAGGGTGACAACATGGTTTTGAAATGTGATCATGCAGCAGCGTTTCATCCTGCGGACACTGTAGTTATAGATGAACATGTCGTTTTCAAGGGAGTTTAAAGTGGAACTAAAGGTAACTAATAAAAAGCTGCAAGCAGGCAGCTTCTTATTGCAGAAGAGACATGCAATGACTCTACAATAACAAACACCTGCCTGCTGCAGTCTTCTATTAAGTCCTCATGCACACTGGACGTTTTTACAGCTGCTGTTTTTGGTGTTTTTTTCTACAGCCAGTAAACTCCCCAGCATGTTATCCTATGTGTCCATGCACACACAGGCTTTAATCAGCGTTTTTATGGCAGGGGAGCTTTTTGGCTGGAAAACCTCCCAGAACTAGTGGGTTTCCAGAGGAGTTTTTTAGCTGTAAAAACGCTCTAACACTGAAAAATGCAGTAAAACTTGGCAAACTGGCATTTTTTAGCATTTTTTTTCATCAAAAATGTTATGTATTTTTTGTGTGTAAAAAAAATGCTAAAAAAGCAAACATGGAAAAACACAGCTAAATGCTGCTAAACACTAATGCAAAAACACTGAAAAACTTTTTTCAATGTGACTTTACACAGCTAACGCTACCAGCGTTGTTAAAACGCTCAGTGTGCATGGAGGCTAGATGTTCAGCATGCATTCCTGGCACACTCTGGCTGTGCTGAAATGATGGATTCCCATGCACATGTGGATGAAGTCATTCCACCACAGGCACCTAGAAGAAGATGACAACAGCCAGCCAGGGATTTAACCACCACATCATCATCACTGGAAGGTGTAGGTGAGTATTTCTTTCAGTGTGGTTCTTCTTTAAGCAAAAGACAAATTAAAGCATTACTCCAGTTAACACATTTTTATGTGTTATATTTTTATTTTTTTTTCAATGTGGAATAAAAGTTTAAACCATAAGAATAAAAGATAACTATTATAAGTACTACTGCCAGTGTTATATAATTTCTCCCATCTTCCAAATGCCATTTTGCTTGGACAACTTGACCTGTTACAGGAATTGGAAAAATAACAGATCTGTTGGTAGGTTTGACAGGTAATAAAATTATGTTACAGGGGAAATCAGAGGAAAAAATTGCTGAGTTAAAAGTGGTTTCAAAAATAAAAATAAAAGTGTATCATGTCACCGTTTGTTAATTCTTAGATGTGGTGACTACATTGATTTCCTTTTTAAGGCTTTTGCTTTCTTTATTTTCACCTGGTGACCCTGCAAGTAAATCTGTTGTTTTTAAAAGTCTTTTAACAGACAAGCTGTCCAGCAAAAGTAGCAGTTTTATTTTTGAGACAAACCATTTACCACTGGTAGGATGCTTAACCACTTCATGTCCGGACACTTTCACCCCCTTCCTGTCCAGGCCAATTTTCAGCTTTCAGTGCTATCACACTTTGAATGACAATTGCGCGGTCATGCAACACTGTCCCAATATGAATTTTTTTTAGAATTTTTTTGATACAGATAAAACTTTATTTTGGTGGTATTTATTCACACTGGTATTTTTATTTTTTTTCTGCTATATAAATGAAAAAGTCCAAAAATGTTGAAAAAAAGGGTTTTTCTTATAACATTTTGCAAATAAATAATATTTCTTAATAAATCTTGGCCAAAATTTATTCCATTATCTTTTTAGTAAAAAAAATAAATAAACCAAATTAGTTTATAACCAAAAATTATAATTTTTCAAATTTTTTTAATATTATTATTTATGTTTTTTTTTAACATACTGTCACCCTAGCAGTACAGTGTCACCATGATGGCACTGTACTACTTGTGGGGGGTGATGAAGATTTTTTTTTTTCACACTGATTGCTTTTACACCCATAAAGCAATAATTTCTCCTTCTCTCTGGCTGCATTCTTGCTGCCATTGAGAAATACTGTGAGAGCTGTGATTGGTCACAGCTTGTCACATGGTACAAGGCTGTTGTGAATAGCCTTGTACCATGTGATCATTCACAGATTTCGCACATAGTAAGCAATTATGTTAGAAGTGACCTCTTGCTTACTACTATTCATGTGATCACTGATTGGAAAATCAGTGATCACATGATCGGGACCTCACAGAGAGGTCCGGAGGACACCGCGGGCATCAGATCGCGGTGCTGCGCCCCTCCCAGAGAGCGCACACAGCTTGAAAATGCGGGAGCTGTTTATGAACGGCAACTCGCTCCTGCACTGCTCCCGTCCAGCCGTTTATGTACATGGGCCGAACAGGAAGAGGTTAAAATGGTCAACTTTCATTCATTTATGTAAAACCTTTTTTTCCCAAAAGGAAAAAAATAATGTTTGCTGTCACTGCTTATGAAGTGTTAGCTGGAGCTCAGCTTTAATTTGTTAGTCAAGTCCGGGTAAATCTGCTAGTACATCTAACACTATCCTCTTCCCCCCACACTGACTATGCTGCTGTCCAAAAGGTGTCTCTGTTCCTCAGTAGAGACACCCTAACACAGGAAATGTGTTAGTGGCCAGAGAGCCAGGTGAAAAAAAAGGAAAAAAAAGCCTAAAAAAGACAAATGTAGCCACCACAGTTAAAAGATTGTCAAAGTGGTTCTAAAGCCAAAAGGTTTTTCACCTTAAAACATTACCTGCATTAAGGTGATAAATGTTACACTAATTGCCCCCTCTCTAAATACTTACCTGTATTGTTAAAGTGCTGTGCCAGCCTAAAGCACCGTTGGTTCTCTCTCTCCTCTCACAGGCTCAGAGACTACAGAGGGAACTATTGGCTAACTATTGACTAATTAAGCAATGCATAAACTGGATATAAAAGTGCTTAATAAATAAATTAAAAAATCATGTGTCATAAATAATTTAAAAAACGTATACTAAAAACCACCTGCGCTCAGTGTCTACTTAATAAAAAGACTGCAGCACTCAAATATTGGAATACACAATACAAAGAAATTAACTTCTATCGTAAGTGCACTTTAACTATTATGTACTTTCAGTACAATAAAAAAAATAAATGCATAAAAAATTATTATACAATTTATAAAATAATTAATGTGAAATAAAATTCATACATCAAAAAAAATTCACATAAAGTCAGAGAAATAAATAAAGTGCAAATATTAATTAATATAGTGCAACCTGCAAGAAGAGGACAAATGCCAAAGGCTAAACAAACAAAAAGTCTCAAATATGGAACTGCAGTGGTGACAAGTTCAAATGAAAAACGTCTTGTGGAGAGCCCCACCACCAATATATATGCTCCTTACCAAATTCAGACCTCTAGATTACAGGAGGTCGATCTAGCATGGATGTACAATAATACTGACAGCAGCATTGGATCACACACTATCTGGCTCCACTCCTCCTCTCAAGACTCCATTGAACCACCTCCAGAATTATTAACCAGACAATGCTCAAAGAAAATAAAAATACTCCATGGCAAGGCCAGATTTACATCTGAGGAGCCTATAGGCAGACAATTCTGAAGCGCCCCCCGGCAGACTTTAATGTAAAGGGGAATACTGCAGGCTGTGATGTAAGAATTGATTCACACATATGCAGTGCAGATTGAAGCTCAGGGTTCACAGCTAATTGATACAGTAGTTGTTCACAGGTTCACATCAGGTTTACATCAGGTTCAGGATAGGATTAGCTCATGACCAGGGGACTAAAGATGGCTTGTAAGTCCCACTAAACCAATACCTACCCCCCATATCTAACCTAAGTAACCACACTGACAACAAATGGAGTTAATGGCCCAAAACCGGCCTTTTATTACAACCATCAATAAATAACATTTTTTTAAATAA